GATTACTAAACCAAAAAGCTCCTATCAATTTCACCTTTGCTTTGAGCTTTTTGTTTTTCTCTTTCTTCTTTTCCAAGTCCTAGCACTTGATCATCACCATGGCATCACCATCATCATGATCTTCACTGTTGCTTCATCACATGGAATAGTGCTACTTATCTTATAATCACTTTGATAAACTAGGTTAGAACTTAGGGTTTCATCAATTCACCAAAACCAAACTAGAGCTTTCACCATTTTGGGTGAGGGAGGAAGGAGAGAGCATTGGGCCGGCTGACAGGGTGGGCTTGCTAGAAAGGGAGCCCGAGGGAGAGAAGCAGGTCGCCGGAGAGGAGAGAGAGTGAGAGAGAGATCTGCTGGGCCAAATTGAGAGGAGAGAGGTTTTCCATTTTCCTATTTTCTTTTCTATTTTAAAACCAATTTCAAATATAAACCAACAAATTTGAATATGGTTTAAAATACACTTTTCAATTCAAATAAAAATGAGCAATTTGGGTAAGTTTTCCAAAAATAATTTTTACAACTTTTTAAATTCTTTTATTTTCTAATTTTCTTTTCTTTTATTTCAAAGCCATTTTCAAATTCATTTTCAAAAGCATTTTGAATTTTGGATTCAACCACTCATTGCAATAAATCAAATGGACTGGCATGTATGCACATCCATGTTGCTACTCCTTATGATGAATTTTAATTTTAACAAAATTGTTATTTTTCTAAATTTGCATGCTCACAAAATGCACAATTAAATCATTTTAATCTATTTTAAAAATATGCAAATTTTAGGGTGTTATAGCTTATTAATTGGTGGGGATAGGGTATGGTGGGTTTAAGGTGGAGGCTAGCAAAATGTGGTGGTGGAGGAAAGGGAGTAGTTAAGGGATGGTAAATGAAGTGGAGGGAAAGGGACAGGTGGGTGTTAGGACTTGCCTCCATTCGTTGACGATCATATCCTCATCTAATTCCTCATGTGCTTCCTGCTCTTGTATTCTAGACTCCATTGGGTTCTCTCCACGTCTTCTATCCTACGCGGTCTAGCATCGACAAACAAGGAAAATAACAAGCAAGGCATGTAAAACAAGCATTGGCAATCAAGGTGAAAGAATCAATCCTACTTGGGTTGGTCCTATTGGGTGATGGGTCATTATCTAGGTTATCATTATTATGTCAATTTGAAGTAAGGTTTTGATGAAGAGATTTCATCCATAGGGTATGGCTTCTACGGGTTAGGTTAAGGGGAGTGGTTGGTTTGATGAAAACCAGACCACATTATTAGGCTTCACTGTTATGTGAACCTAAAAGAGAAAGCCTGACTAAGTCATCATAGATGACTCGTCTGACTTCTATAGGTCCACCGGGTTAGTGGCACATACGCACATGCATATGTATGTACCTTGGGTTAATCAGGTTAGAGAAAGGGTGAAAGATAAGGTTAGCCATACATAGGCGTATACCCGAGTATCAGGCGTATCCATGTATGTATAGATATTCTATTATTTTAGGTGATTGGATATGGATATATTCGAGTATGTGTCATAGTATATGCACATACGCGAATATACGGGGTTAACTACTACTACGGTGATGGGCTTCTACTATAATTATTATTTAAATTAAATAATGTAATCAAAATAGAATTTAAATGGGCACCAAATAGGACAAAGAGTATGAATAAGTAGAGATTGATCTTAGAAGAATTTTAGTTGTGGAATCAAGTAATTTGGAGTTAGGATGGAGAAAATATGATTTATCAAAGATTTAATATGAAAAGGAATATGTGGAATATAAGCTTGGGAATTAATTCTAGAAATTGGGATAATGGAAATGGGATATAAATGCTTGGGTAGGATCTAGAGTGTACCTAGTTTATTTAGGAATTTTCTGGGAATTTTTCTATGCATGGAAATGGGTTTTCCACTCCTCTGTGTACACTTCTCGAGTGTACCCAGTGTTTTCTCCTCAGCTGAGTGGTTGATGTGTGGGCCAGGGCTGTGGGGCACGGCCTGTTGGTACTGTGCTGTGCGTCGGGTTCTTACTGCGCTGTAGACCGCTCTCTCTCTCTGAGTCTATGGACCGAGTCCACCGAATCAAGGAGAATAGAAAGGAGGGAGTCATGGTGGCTGTCACGTGGGGTCTGCGTGGCGGCGTCACTGTCTCCTCCCATCCAATGGCATGGATGCTTTTCTGACTTAGGCCCATGTAACAGTGGGTGTGGAGAGGACGGAGGGGAAATGGCAACGGAGCATCGACGACGCCTCAACAACGAAAATAGAGTAGGGGCGCGGGGCTCAACGGACTTGATTTTGCCGGCGGCATCCTTGCCCGGAGCTCGTCTCAGGATGGCGGACGGTGTTCGCAAGGTCGAGCCGCGGTACTAGGAAGTCTTGCTGATGGCGGTGGGGGCTTGTGGTGACAGTGGTGGTCTGCAGGAGTGGTTGCGGTGGCGCGGAGGTGGGACGCGGTGTTCTACGATGTGGTTGAGTGGGCGAGTGGGTGCAGCATGGCTGTGGATCGAACTTGCGCGCGTAGATAGTGCCATCCCGCGTTGTTGCACCTTGTCGACGATGACCATCGGCAATGGCGCCTTGGCGTTTAGCGCTTCACGGGGCTAGGGCAACGCAGAGGGCTAGAACTATCTAGGGTGTAGTGAGAAGGTGAAAGAGGGGATCAGGAAGCTCACTATCCACCCTAATCGTCCTACAGTGCACCAGTGGAGGAAGAAGCGGGTCTTGCTCCAATGGTGACCGCGGTGTCCTGATTTGGGGGAAATCAAGCTACCGCCCAGGAGAAGAGGGGAGGGGAGGAACTAAGGGGGAGATGGGATGTTCTAGACCTATGCGGAGCTTGATATGGTGGTGGTTCAAGCCAGGGAGCACTCGCCGAGCCTATTTATAGGTGGTGGAGGTCGGTTCACCGGCGACATATTTCTCACCACGCGCCTAGATTTTGTGGGCGCCAATCCTTCATTCGAGCTTGCGTCCAAGCTACAAAGACGATGGCGCACAATGCGCGCTTATCCGTTGCTCGATTGGGGTGAGCTGGAGTTAGAGCGCAGCCATGGTGGCACGGCTGGCTTGCTCGGGTGCTGCCGTGTGGTGGAGTGGATAAGGGTGGTGAGGTCTGGTGGGTTCGTGGCGTCCTTGTGCTTATCCGCTTTGCTGGGCTGAGGCGGTAACAGCAAGCCCAAGGAGATAGAGGTCGATGGCGTGGGTGACGCGGTATTCTCATCGTTCACCCGGAGGTAGACGACGATGCTGACGAGTGGGGCCGCGGTGTTAGTGGCATGGAGAAGAGGGAAGTGAGCGGGCCGGCCCATCGCAGAAAGTAGAGGGGGAGGAGGCGAGAGCGTGCGCGTGGGCTCGGGCTGGTGATGGCCCAGTGCGGTAGAGGCGAAGAGGAGGTGGGCCATTTCCATGGGCCAGAGAGGAGAGAGGGGAGAGGATTGAGCCCGAGAAGCTTCTCCATTTATGAAATGCATTTCTGTTTCCCAGAATTTAAACTAAGTACATTTGAATAGAGTTCAAATGGGATTTGAAGGAATTTGGTGGATGGGTGGTTAGGGTAAATCAAGGGGAGGACAAGGGGATTACTTCATGGAAAATTCGAGGGAAAAATGTCAAGGATATTATTTAGTGCCAAATAAATTCTAGAGCAAACAATTCATACAAGCATAAAATCACAAGCATTCACACACCCAAGCACTCAAGCAATTTCAATCATCTATCCTAAATGCATATGGTGAATTTTGACGCATGGTTTTGGAAAACATTTTATTTAAAAGTGGTTTTGCAGGAATTAAACTAATCAAATTTTTAATTTGTTGTAAAGATTTGAAAAGTTCAAATTTTTAGTGGATTTTAACATGATGCAAAAACACAGGTGTTCCAGCGGACCATTAGGCACTAAATTTGCTAACTTCATTGGAACATTTGTGAGAACAAAGGGTTTCCCAATTGCACATGATGATTGGAGGAAGGTCTATCCACGCCAAAAGTATAAGCTTTGGACAGGATGCACAGGTACTGAAATTGGTTGCAAATCTATCTACTACAGTCATGTGATTGAGTCCTAACTTATTATTTGTGTGCTGTACAGCTATCACTACTAGAAACCAAAAAATTTCTTGTCGGTAAAAAACCGACAGAAAAAAGCAAAAAACAGACAAGGAAAATTAAAAATAATTTTTCTGTAGTGACAGGGAAAAGACCGACAGAAAAAAGCAAAAAAACGACAGGAAAATTCCGACAGAACTAAAGCGACAGGGAAATAACTTTTTTCTGTCGGTTGTATTATTTTACTGTCGGTTTACTATTTTTCTTGTCGGTGGGCGTCGACAGGAAAATTGTGGGTCGTCAAGTCTAGAATTTTGCTTCTGTCGGTAAATGTCGATAGGAAAAATATGTGTACCGACAGGGAATAAAATTGCCTGTCGGTGTTGAACCGCCAGAAAAAGAAACTCGTACCGACAGGAAATATTGGTTTTTCTGTCGATGGAGCCGCGACAGGAGAATTACAGTTTTCCTGTCATCCTCTCCCGACAGTATAATTATAACGTACCGACATGAAATAATTGCAGTCACTAGGCCACAGAAGCACCTCATTTATTTATAATTTCATACGATATTCATGATAACAGTATAGGCACAAACATGACATCTGATTCTATAAGGTTTTCAACTAGAACACAAATATATTGCATCAATTTGTCATCATCCACATGCCATACATATAGATTAGATTGCCCACGGTTGGCATCAACAGCCACAAATTAAGATGCCCATAGGTCTTGCATCCACAGCTACATAATTAAGATGTCCATAGGTCTTGCATCCACAGCTACATAAATAATAATTTCACAAAAGCATCAACTAGTTGATTGTCTTTTCCAAAAACTGGCATCAACTTGTTGGCTGCACCTTTACTATCTAAGGGTTAGAAGTGGCAACTACCAACAGCTTCTACAAACACAAAATGGCATTATCTGTTTGTGATGACTCCCACCTTCATGTATGGTTTCGGTTCAGTGTTTCCAATGCAGCTCTGTATACGGCATTGAGATTGTCTTCATCGTGGCCATATGTGGCATTGTCATCATTGGTCAATTCCGAGCCAACATGAGAACAACCAGTGGCCTATACATATATGATGAGAAATATTAGTTAGATTGCTACAGGTAGTAGTAGTAGTAATCTTTCAGGTGCTAACAACGGCCAGTAGGTAAACACATTCCAGATGGAAGCAAAGAGATTATTTGCCTTCAGCATGTAATACCAATTAGCCATACATAAACAAAAATGTACCACCAATTGTCCATCCCAAGGTGTAGTTGTAGTTGTACTATAGATCTATCAAAGCATACACTCAGAACAAATCACTAATTTCAAATAATGCTCACAAAATTTATCATCAAGCAATATTACAGTCTTACAGAAGACGTCTTAAAAAAATGCTAATCTTATTGTTTCATTTAATATTTATTCATTCATAAGGAAAAAAATCATGGGAAAATTGGTTTCATAGCAACGAAAGAATGCGAAAATCAGAAAATACCATCGAAAGTTTGTTGTGCCGTAAAATACCATTGAAAGTGAGCATCATTCCGCAATCTAGCACTCTATTACTTTCGCTGTTAACGCCGTTGGTTGCGTCCATCCGAGGACTCGGCTTTAGTGCTTCACTCAAAATTCAAAAACGAGCAGGAGCTATGGGAGGACGTCGAGAACAGCCTATATACGTCGCATCAACCTGAGCAGGCCTACGGTGGTACAGCCTTGTCCCAGGCAGCTTGGAGCTCAAGCCCAGCGCCTGTCCTTGCCTCAGACGCTGCCGCCTAGCACTCCAGCGCCGACACCCTATGCCGCCGGAGACGCACTCGCCCCGGCTCGCCGAAGCTACCTCCGCCGGAGCTGCGCCGTACCAGCGTGTGACTCCACCCACAACAGCCAGCCGCCGGAGCTCGCCACCACGACCCACGGGCAACGGGGCCTTCCCACCGCCACCCCGCTGCCCGGAGCTCCTCGCACTAGAGCCGAGTGTGGTTAGCACAGAGCACCCGTGCGCATCGAAGCCGACGCCGCGCCGAAGGCCGGAGGTGAGCGCCGCCGTCACCAAGATAGTCACCACCAGCGGTCTGCTCTCTCCTTTTCTCTCTGTCCGCTTACCGCTCAGATAGGCGCTGCTAGTGGCGCTGTGTGCGACCGTGCTGTCACGGTCGCAGTCCAGGAGCGACCGATGATTCTTGCACCGGGTACCAGCTCACCGGACTCCGCCAAAACGAAGCGCTTTCGGCTTTCTCGCATGGAAAAGGATGACATGTGCATGCACCAGCCCAATCGATCCATGGATGTCCTGTGAGGACAGCCGGCTGCTCGGCGTCCACTGATGTGCGTGCTCTCCCAAGAGGACGACGGAGACGCACGATCTGTTGCTGTCCACGGGTGTCCAATCCGGCATTTTCGCTCACGCTGAGGCCCACGATTGACGCAGTTACCTGCCCCCGCATCTTCTGGTTGGCGGCACCCATCTCGGACGCGTTCGTGGTCGGCCAGCCGTCGACCACAGCGTCAAGGCCCACCGAGAACCCACATAGCTCGGGAGGTCGCGGACACCGCACGGGCCACTAGCAGCATCGCCGCTGCTCTGCTCACCATGTCACAGGCAATCATTCTTTTTGGCTTCGGCAAACAGTCAGGCCGGCGAGTAGTAGATGGATGGAGGAGAAGAAGAAGGAGCATACGTCCTAGGCTCCCAGCGGGTGGACACAGACGCCGTTAGCTCCGAAGGTGATGGAACGTGATGGAATGCTACTTTCAGTTGACGTTTGCGTCCTTGAATTGTATTTTACGTGACAGAGCTCTTTGAATGGTATTTTCTGATTCTGGTGATCTTTCAATGTTATAGAACCAATTTTCTCAAAAATCTTACAATTCCCATTTGTCATCAATGCCACTCAACAATATTAGAAAAATATGTGCTGATATCAAGTCATGTGAGAATAGAACAGTGCTACCTATTTTTAGGGAATCAGATCTATGAAAATTAGGCAGTAAGTATAAGTGCATGTTAACACATTGGTTCAAAAATTAGTTGAGAGTAGAAATCTGGAGTGATATCAACTGAGTCCCGGTCCATGGAAACTGAACCAATGCAAATATCTACCTTACCATTAGTACTCAATTAATTCAATTTAAGTCCACTAGCTACGCAAGAATCAAGATGAGGTCACTTCCTCACCGGTGGACTGCATGTTGCCATTTTGAATACCACATCAAAATTATAGCCATTTTATAGAAAAGATAATAAGTTAGGCTAGCTGTACTCACAATTGCTTGCGCTGCTGCTGCTGCTGCTGCTGCAAGTTGTGAGGATGCCTCTGGAATTTCCTGTCCCAGTCCTAAGCGTCGACAAAGTGGCTATAGTGATGACATTAAATATTTCAGATTTTGAAAAATGGTTTGCCTGTAGAAAAAAAACTATCAACACACATACTTACCATTGTCAGATCTATAGCAACTTTGCCTTATCGCACTATCCTTCTCTTTATGTAGCCTTGCATTTTCTCGTCGTAGTTCTGCATTTTGTTGGGCCAACACTTTCATTGAAACTGGATTTGATTGACTCACATTATTCTCCTTCGCAGCTGTTCTAACATCAGCTGCCCTAACAACGCCATATCCTATAGCAAAGTGCCCATGGGTGGACAAACGACCCAACACGTCGTACAACACCTTTGCATTCAACTCTTGCTCATGTTCTGGCCCTTGCCCTTGTTCCACCTCTTCCATATCCTCATGCTCTTCATGCTCCTATGTAACCCCCTTAACCCCTGCTATATAGTCATCCTACAAGCAATTCCATGTAATCATGTTGTGATGCTACCAGGGTACTAGCTTAATCTAAAAACAAGAAATTTAATTGTCCTTTAATTTGATATATATCAAGCCAAGAATGAAGTGAAAACACTGGTGGTATTTTAATCACTCTTGTTTCAGGGTCTAGACCATTTTAAGCAAATTACATCCTAAAAATAACTTACCTAAACTTTTACAAATTAGAGTTCAAAGGTCAGGAAAATTGCAGTCAACAAAAAATAGGTTGCAGCCACAGCTACTTGCACATTTCCACAGGATAGGGAGATCCTTGAAGAAGCTTATGAGCAGCAGCCATACTGTCTTACTGACATTCTAGCTCTAGTAATCTTGTCTTACTTAATGCAAGCACACAGCCATAAGCCAACTTGATCATAAAAAGTGAACAAAATTGAAGTCTATCACTAGTAGCCATAACCATGACAAACAAATAAGCACTTCAAGCATTGCTGACTGTGAGACTGTGGAACAACCAAATATTTAAAAGTGGCATGCTTTCATGTTACATGAAGAGACAAACATGATACAACTATAACTTCAAGGTTAAAGTTTAGCTTCATTTCTAAAACAAACTTAGTAGATATCAGGTACAATACCTTTTTACACACATGGCTAACACATAGAACAAGTGAACAATGCAGCAAGTAATACCATAAGCACTGCTTCTTAAGAGGTTTGGTCCTCGGCTAGAACCCAAGGCTTGAGTGACATTTCATAACCAAGATCAGGAGAAGCTCAACAAAAATCACTAGTCATTATCCATTTCAGGCTATCTTGGTTGGATTTCAAGAACTAAAATTTTGTAGAAACTAAACGATTAATGTATGTTTTCATAGCCAGACTTAGATTTACATACCATGCGTTGTTGTGCTTTGTTGTGTTGATCGAACCACAATTACCACTGCTATCCACATTTTTCATGCCAGATTTCATTGCAGCAAATGCATTAATAGGAGTTCCCTTATGTTGTCCAAACCTATGTGCCTACAAATACAAATAGTTAATGAGCAACATCAAAATAGACATGTTTACATTTGTATGCAAATATTAAGTCAAAGATACACATACACATAACATACCAGAAGTTGTTGTGTCTCTGTGAAGGGTCTAGACCCTCCATGGTTTTGAGCAATATCATCAGAACTGAAGCAACATTCCTGTCCTATCTTCCGTTTTGTCTTGAACTCCTCTTAGCACCAATAGTGACATAGAACCGGCCACACAGCGTCATTGAACCAGTCCAGCCTGACCACCTTGTATTGTTCATATTCAAGCTCAATTGTGCGGGCTAGTGTATCATCTAAACTTTCACCCCTTTTTCTATAGTATGCCTTTACACAATCCACACGGGCTTGATACATGATGTCCCTCACCTTTTTCTTCAAATAGTTGTCAAGAATACGATCCGCCTCTGCTTGATCTTCTTCGTTAACTTGGAACAACCGCTGCATGTGTACCAAGAAATTTCAATTAACAATATGAAATGGAAATATGCTCTCTACGTTTATATGACAAAAGAAACATGAATTGTGAAGACTGGTTAAGAAATTCAAGTTCTTATCTACAATGTATTCACAGTAGAATGAAGTCCAACATAGTTGTGACACATGAAAATGAACCTAACTAGCAAAAAACATGCCTCTTACCCAAAATTCATAGAGCACACGTTCCCCATTTGTCATGCCTTCTTTATTCACACTACCCAGAAAATAATCAGGCCAGTCTAGAGTTGGCTTCTCCCTGATCAGTACACCATCCTCATCCTTTTCTTGAAGCAAACCTGGGTACTCTCTCTTGAGAATGACACCAAGTTGAGTAGTGTATCTATAAGGGGGCTTGCAGTTGTAGTTGACACAACAAAATTGCCTGTACATAAATAACAGATGCTTTTATAAATAACTAAAAATGGAAGCTAACAGTATGAATTAGTTGGTAATTTACTCATGAGTCACCACTTGGATAAAGAGCCACCCGGCTTGATGGTGGAACTGGTTTAATTTGGTTCTAGTCCCTGGCTTCCTTCCTCGTTTTTTAGGAGGCTCTACTTTGGGAGGGGCAGCAGGTCTAGTCCTTTGTGAGGATCCATTAGTAGTGGCTGTTCCTTGAGATGCACTTGTTTGGGTGGCTGTTTCTTGAGAAGCACCCATTTTAAATCCATGCCTCCTAGGAAGATGATTTTTACGTGCATGACAAATTCCATGAGCCATCTGCATAGGAACGATGAGTTAGAATATTGTATTCTATAACACCAAGCTGCAGCTACATAACACCAAATTCAGATTTAATATCACCAAGTTCAGATTACAGAAAATAGCTGTAGAATACATAACACCAAGTCCAGATTTAATATCAAAATAAGGTATAAAGGGTACATTTTATCCCAGTGATACACAATAGCATTACAGCACTACAAATTCATGACTAAAAATTCAATAATCATCATGATCATAAGTCTCTTCCTCTGATTCATCCGTTATTGCTTCATGCTCTTCCTCTGTAGTGTTACCCTCTTCATCAATAGCTTCTTCATCATATTCCTCATCCTCAACCGTGGTTTTCTCTATTGTCTCCAAGTCTACCACATCAGTAATCTCCTCTGAGCCCAAAGATACCAGAGAATCCAATGCTTCCCCCAAATCAATAACAAAGGTACCATCCAATCCATCCTCTTGATAGACATCATGTATTACATGTTCAGAACTCATGGGCTCATCATTTGCACCATTAAGAGGTACACATCCATGAGGAGCAACTCGGTAGACAACCCACCATGGAGATAGATCCTTATCCTTACATGGGTAAGATAGATAATAAACCTGAGTAACTTGACTAGCCATCACAAATGGGTCAAAAATTTTCAACCTTAATGCATGCTTGTTCTCTACTAAGCCCAAATCTTCCGTATGCCTCAATCCATTAGGTGTTGGATCAAACCAAAGACAATAAAATAAAACCAATTCTAGTTTCAAACTGCCTTCCCATTCAATTTTTATTATATCTTCTATGACACCATAATACTCAAGGGCATTGTTATTTTAATCATATGAAGTAACACAAACACCAGTATTGATGGTTGTTAACCCAAGTCTTCCCCTCTCATATTTCTCTAAACGGAATCTATATCCATTAACATCATAGCACCCATAGGCGGTAACTTGAGTGCAGAAACCATAAGATAACTAGCATAGAACATTGTGAATGCTAACTGATTTCATGCCCTGAAACAAAAAAATATATAAATTAAAGTTCTTTAGCATTTTTATTATTCAATATAAAAATATTGACAAAAGGATAAGAGTATTACTTTCTGTTTGAACCAATCAAAAAAATTTGGCCCAAATTGTTTGCCACGGGCATTTTTCCAACCATTTAACCTTAAATCACAAAGTTGTTGTTCAGTGGGATCAGATTGGCTCTTCCACTCCTCTTTATCAAATTGTCTACATGTAGAAACAATACTCAACTCACATCAAAGGTTTTGGTTATTTGGGACAACACTACTCAAGTAGTTTGTATAACTTACATGAAGAAATCATCCATCTCAGGTATGTTTGTTAGTATGGACAAGAAAGCAACCTTGTACTCCTCATTTGAGAGGCTACGAATACCCCTTGGGCCGATGCATCGACCCGGGCATTTAAAAATTTCAAGGTCACATGTACCTTGAAATATAGATGAACCATCATCATATCATGGCATCTTGTTTCAAATAGAAGGTGCACTGGATTTGAAATATAGACTAAGAAAATTTGTAGCCTCTTCAACTAGAAATGCCTCAACAATGGCAGCCTCAACACGTGCCTTATTTCTTACTTTCTTCTTAATTTTCTGGATAAACCTATGAAATAAGAGAACATATTACAAATAAAAAACTAATGGGCCTTAATTGATTTGTAGATATTTTTTTCAGATTTACCTCTCATATGGAAAACTCCAACGGGCTAGAACTGGCCCTCCCAATCATGCCTCATAAGGCAGATGGATGATCAGATGTTGCATAACATTGAAGAATCCAGGAGGGAATATCTTCTCTAATTTGCAAAGAAGAACCGCAACATTCTGTTCTAAAGAGCGAGCAGCATCTTTACTAAGTTCTTTGGCACACAATTGTTGATAGAAGTAACTAAGCTCAGCCAAAGAGCGCCATACATTATCTAGTAGAAACCCACGGAACACAATAGGAAGCAATCTTTCAATAAAGATGTGGTAGTCGTGACTTTTTAGGCCATGAATCCTCTTATGTTGCAAGTCCACACCACGCCTAATGTTGGCTACATATGCATCAGGAAATTTCAATTCTTTGAACCATTGGAGAATGTTTGGCTTGTCATCTTTGTTAATGCAGAATGGAGCTCTAGGCTTGTCCCACTTCCCGTTGTTCTTTTGGACCAGATGGAACGAAGGTCGGTTACAAATCATAACTAAATCTAGCCTAGCTTTTGCATTATCTTTGGTCTTACTACCTATGTCAAAGCATGTGTTCCATATGGCTTCACTCACATTCTTTTCATTGTGCATCACATCAATATTATGTGGAAGAAGTAACTTAGAGAAATATGGAAGCTGCCTAAAGCAAAGTACATGTGTCCAATTGTGCAATTTACCAAAGGTGTCGTCACCTGCAAATCTAGTGACATTGGCCTAGAGTTCATCCCCTGTCAACCTCCTAGGTGGCTCATCCAACACCCTTGTGTTCTTACGAAATGCATTAGCTTGTTTCCTAAACACATGATCCATAGGCAAGAAGCGCCTATGACAGTCAAACCAACAAGCCTTATGACCATTACAAAGTTGGAAACCTAGGCAGCCATATCCACACGGGCATGACAATCTACCATGGGTGCTCCATCCAGCGAAGTCTCCATATGCCATGAAGTCATGTACAGACCAATGGTATGCTGCCTTCATTTTGAAGC